TTTCACTGTGCTCATTTTTTTCATTTTTTTCCGTTTTTGTTAATCTTGCATGGTTAAATCCTCGTTAACGCTTACTCGCACGCGATCAGCGATCTCTTCTAGGTATAAGCCGAAAATCATCCTGCGTGAGGTGTAAATAACATGGTCGTTGGTGCAGCATTTTGCCTTTTGTCTCCGCGCTGAGAATTTTGAACGCCGGTAATCGGGCGTCCATTACGAAAATTACACCGTGGCTGAGACAAACGAAAAAGCGTGGTCGTCTATTCGAGAAGATCGATTTGCCGTTTACATATTCGACAGGGTATCACAAAAATCGTCAAATCGAACGCTTGTCGAGACCTCGTTGTTTCTCGATCAAATTGCACGTGCACGCTGCAATCCGTAGTAAAATTCAATAATATTTATATATTTATATATGTATACATATACATATATACATATATAGGTACGTACTAGGCTGGTTTTCGTCTAATCGCATGTACCCTAAATATCCGCGAGAAACAGAATCGACCCTTGTGCGTTCCAATTTAACCCCATTACCGCCATTATTCCTCTCTAACTCTCTGCGCCTCTTTTCTCCCGGGGAAAAATACGTTTTTTTTTCTTTTTATACATTTTTTTACAAATAAAACGATAGGTACATTGTTTATTTTTTCTTTGTTTTCTTAATACTTTTTATTCGTATCCCTTGCACTCTAAGCTCAAATTACCATGGACATCGATCAACCTCGGCGAAACACATTTTTTAACGACGTAATACAATTGAACAGTGTGTACTTTTAGAAATTATCCCGTTTAACCCTTTCGCTACGGCGGTCCTCGCCGCGGAATCCCTCCCGTAGAACGAGGCGCCACGCCAAAAGTGTAGACAGTGCGCGCACGCACGGTCTTCAGCGTTCGGGGCCAAGTCTTTCGTCTCAAAAACGCCATTGTAACACTGCTTTTAGGAGCAAAATAATTTTTATTCATCGCAATGTTTTTATAACTTTTCCACGAACGTATTTAATTAAACATTAAAATTAATATTTTAATGTTTTAAGCCCAGTTT